AGCGAAAACCTATAAAATAGCACGTAGAGCACGCATTACAGCAGTTCATCCTCGCCCCAGGAAATAGCCCATTAGCTAGTTCTGTCCTAAAGGCTTTGGTGTCCTCTGTATCTGCGGAGATTTGTGTACCAAAAACATATCTTTGTCTTGATTCATTAACAATTTCGCGAACTTGAGATTTATCAGTTATAGCTAACTGCTGATTCCTGAGCTTGCAAGGCTTCTGGTGGTACACGCTATTGTCTCGTGGAGGGTCACGGCAGCAGTTCCAGATAAGCACACCTCGTCTCGTGGAGGGTCACGGCGAGAATTCGATAAAGTCCTCAGTTAAGTTGCTAGAGGCAGGCGGCCGTTACTATTGGAACCTGTGCGCGTTTAGCAGCCTGGTCATATTTCGGTTAGTTGGGCTATTGGAACCTGTACGCGTTTAGCAGTCTGGTCGTAGTCGTTGTTCCCTTGCCTGGCCTGGTCAAGCGCCCGTCAGGAAGCCGTTCACGTCCGTGTTAAAGTCGTTGAGACTTGAGCCGGGGAGACTTTCACAACAAAACATCCTTACACCCAAAACCCCTTGTCTGTGTTTTCGTGTGTTCGCGATTGTTCTTCGGTTGGTAGCTACCTGAAGCTATTGTAATCTCGAACTTAGTTCTACCAAAACTTGTCGAGTCGATACTTGTCCCACTTCAATAAAAGAGAGAATTCATCTTATCTGTATACTTCAGAAGGATCCGAACTCAATCTTAGCACTTTGTACTGGTTGTAGTGAGTTGTGTGTGTGTGTGTGGGTTTTGTGTTAGAGTCCGCTCTTCGCGAAGTCACCATTCTGCAGCCCTTACTCAGGTGCACCGTTTCACCGCGTCAATCCGCGTCAGGCCCGCGTCAACACCGCGCCGACACAGCCACCACCGCGTCAATCACCACGTTACAGCTACTATTTATCCCACGTCCTCTCCATTCCCAAGGCATCAGTAAGTTTGCGACAAAGGGATCGATTGTAGTTAACCTATCGAGCCGAACTACCAGGCACTAAGCTCCAGTTCACTTGAAGCATACATCTATTTACTGATTAACGGCTAGTGGTTGAAATCGGCATCTCGGCGTTGTGACTGCGACACAACTCTTCCTCTTACCACCACCACGGTGCACCAGGTAAGCTCGTTTTGTACATAGACCCTTGCCCTCGATACTTGAATACTCCCAGGACGCATTAAAGGAGCCAAAAGGCCTGTTTCAAGGTCAGTTTGACCTCAATCTTCGCATTTCTGCAAGTGCCGACCAGTTGGTTCAAGCTTGCGATTTCGACTTGTATGGCTGTAGGGAGCGAGGGAAATGATCTAAAGACCATATCGAAGGTAATCGGACGTTGGAACTGTCCAATATAGCCTTCGAGCTAATTCTACTTTCTGTTTTCAGAAATGTTACATCTCCTGATAATTGAGGGTTCTGGCAGCTCATGTGCCTCGGTATTTCCGTACGTCTATTCAAATTGACCTTATGTAGTCATCTATAGGCTTATTCAATAGTCTCGGTGCCCTGGCTCGCTTCAAATCAGCCAAAGCCCGAAGTTTTACATTATCGAAAACTGAGGGCTCTCGGAGATCCTCTGCTTCAATGCTTTGGTAAGATCGTTTGGATTGACTCTGTATGGCCTAATATACGTTTATCCAATGGTTTCGAGGTCTTCATTTGCTTCAGTCAGACAGAGGTCGAAGTCTTGCAAAGTCATTCACCCTGGATGGTGGACAGCTAAATCTACTTGTTTGTCTCTCGAGCCTGTGCTAACAAGAGTCTTATAAGCCAGACTTGCCCTGGTGGAACGCTAATTCGCAGCCGAACTGTGCGCTCCCATATCTACTTTCTTGATTTTATGGTGCATCAAACACCGGAGATTGAAGTTAAATAAAAAAGACCAGAGTTTGACCAGAGTAGGGCTCCAACCGTTTCCGTTTGTAAACGGTTTTAAAACGGTTATAACCGTTTCTATTTCCGTTTTGTTTGCCCAGAGGTCCAAATGGTAAACAAACGGTAAACAAATGGTTTAAACGGTTATATTTCTGGTCACCTCAGCCATCTTACTTGACTGCTTGCTCCACTGATAAGCAACAAAAGAAACCAGGTGCAGAAACATTTCTGGGCAACAAATTAGCTGTACTCAGCTCTGTAGCCCCTGAACCAGTGTGCACTGCGCCGGAGCCATGCTCTTCCTGATTGGGCAGATAGTCACGTGACCGATGTTCTACTTCCCCTGAGCATCCACCTTTGAGTGACGCGGAAAACCCCTCCCTTCACAAAGGTGTCAGCTTTAAATATGCTCTGTACTGTTGGCAGAACTCAATGCACAAGAACCCGGTGCAAAACATTGCAGCTTCCGCCCACCAAAAATAATTGAAAAATAACCATTTTAAACAGTTTTAAACGGTTTTTAAACTGTTTGATAACCGTTTCCGTTTGATTTGGCCGGATCATCAAACGGAAGCTAAATGGTTGGAGCCCTAGACCAGAGTGCTTTAAGTATCGGTACTTTACTGGCTTGAAATGAAGCTTTTTGGGGGACTCGTCGCTCCCAAATGATGTATCGACACATAGAAACATTAACAGAATTTCAACAATGATCAAACAGACTGTCTGTTGAAAAGTTATGAAGTGCGCGCCGAGACCGCGTCAATGGCACAGTGTGACGGGGTGTATATAGATGACAGACCAGAGGACCTTGGAATCCTATTTCATATCTTATCTTATCTTATCTTATCTTATCTCATCACAGTATTCTCATGTGACGATACTGTACAAACAATACCATACTATTCTTTGCTTCTGCCTTCATGATCACCTCACACTGAGTTGACCGAGGCACGGCGAGGTAGTCTTCTGGCCCCCACCACCTGCCTGGGCATGCGTACAACTGCCTCCCTGGCCTCTCAAGTGGGCTGCCCGAAGGGTCACAACGGGTACGAGAGCGCGGTCGTGGCAACACGACGAGCCGCTCTCGACCCTCCTGGGAGCGCGGTCGTATGCGTACGACGAGCTGCCCCCAGACCCCTCACATCTTGCTCTGATGTGAGGTCGTTCCCCTGCAAGTAGAAGGACGAGCGCGGTGCTAACGCACGAGCCGCTCTCGATCGAACCCGTACACCCGTAGGAACGCGGACGCACGGCCTCAATGCAGGTCGCATCACACACAGCCACATACCGCGTCACTCCGCGTCACACCGCGTCAATGCGCGTCAGGTCCGCGCCGGGGCGCGCCACCCCGCGTCATTTTTACCAGACCCCTTTGTTTCTGTCTGACCTCAAGCACCATAATAAGAACAGCTGATAACAAGACAACTGGGACACGAGGAACCAACCGGAGGTTGGTGACGAGTGTCCATATGTCCAAATTCTTTTGACTGAACTGCACCTCGGTCCTCCCCTACAGTGAGCGAGGAACAAGGTAGGTAGGTAGGTAGGTAGAATTACACGGCACGGTCCCGCTCAGGAACGCCGGTTTCGGGAAGTATCCCGGTGTACTACAGGCATTATGTACACCACGAGAGTTTTACACTGTAGTGTCTGTTTCAGAGAGACTACCCCTGGACCTGTTTGTGACCCGCCGCTTGCCGGCCACTACCTTTCATGAAGAGAAAGAAGAGCGAAGCATCAGACTGCATTAGTCATCAACTTCTCGGCCTGATGCGACTCATCCCGGCTGGCATAATCCGAGTGTCGGACTCCCCAGGTTTATTCCGGGAAACTGCAGTGGAAACCTATGGATTCTGACACAAGGAGCATAATCAAATGCTCATGACAAAGCATACTCAAGGTATGCAGAGGATGTTTTCAAGATCCTGGCTTCCCGGGTCAACCCCGGGTTGAAATATCAGGCTTGGTTGATTTTATTTGCTTCGGGTCCAGGGGACTTGCTTGAAAGGTTGTGAACCGCGAGGTTGATAAGTCAAATGCATTGGTTGAAGGTTTGAACATTCCGAGTTTCTGAGTGAAAAAAAACAGTGAAAATGCTACAAGTTTTTCCACATTCTTCAACTCAACATATAGCCTTATATGTGTCAAAGCTGAAGTTTTATTCACAGTGCCAGGCCCCCAATTCAAATGACCTTTTAATTGAACCCGTTATTCAATATATCAGATATAAAATAGTATAACCATAGTTCAATTCTAGCCTAGGTCATTTAGGGTGACACATTTTTTCTTGTAAATTCTCTCTGTTGAGTCACCCACCTTCTTACTTACCATTGAAGGTTATTTAGATGTGGTGCACACAGCATTCCATTCTACAGGTGCATCACACACAAGGCAACAAGACCCAGTGGTGGATGGACCACACCTGCCCTCTTTGTTGGAGGATATTTTAGAGCAGGAGTCCCCGGTTTGATTCCGGGCTGGGTCATGGCGGGTTCACTCATGTTTTTCTTTGACAGACTGTATATATTCATCTGTGCACTTGATCATGGCATTGTTGTGAGAGAAGGAAAGAAGACCCAGTGGTGGAGGGACCACACCCGCTCCTGATCTGGTTTCCAGTAGCAGGAGTTGCCAGTTCAATTCCGGGCTGGGTCATTCCCAGAAACTGTAGTTTTTCTCCCAACTGCTCTCAATGGATTTGCTCCGAATACTTTGACAAGTTAGGGTTTGGGGTGGGGAATTGAGACCCAGTGGTGGAGGGACCACACCTGCCCTCTTTGTTGGAGGATATTCCAGAGCAAGAGGCCCTGGTTCGATTCCGGGCTAGGTCATGTCAGGTCCGTGCAGGTTTTCTTTGACATAACAAAATATATCTATCTGTGCACTTGATCATAGTGTGGTTGTCAGGGAAGGAAGGAGACCCGGTGGTGGAGGGACCACACCTGCTCCTCTTATCCTGGCAGTATAGTACCGACATCTGGCAGCAGGAGTCCCCGGTTCAATTCCGGGCTGGGTCATCCCAAGGAACTGTAGTTTTTCCCCCAAATGCTCCCAATGGATTCACTCAGATTACTTTGCAGGCTCACAAGATGAGGAAAGAAGACCTGGTGGTGGAGGGACCACACCTGCTCCTCTTATCCCTGGCAGTAGCTACATTTGGCAGCAGGAGTCCCCGGTTCGATTCCGGGCTGGGTCATTCCCAGAAACTGTAGTTTTTCCCCCAAACACTTTCGATGGACTCATTCAGATTACTTTGCAGGCTCACAAGATGAGGAAAGAAGACCTGGTGGTGTATGGAACACACCTGCCCCCTCTACTTATGCTCGATGATATTGACAGCAGGAGTCCCCGGTTCGATTCCGGGCTAGGTCATGTCAGGTCCGTTCAGGTTTTTCTTTGACAGAATGAATATATTTATTTATCTGTACACTTGATCACAAGGTGTACAGTTTTGAGGGAAGGAAAGAGACCCAGTGGTAGAGGGACCACACCTGCTCCTCTTATCCTGGCAGTATAGTACCAACATTTGGCAGCAGGAGTCCCCCGTTCGATTCCGGGCTGGGTCATCCCAAGGAACTGTAGTTTTTACCCCAAGTGTTCTCAATGGATTTGCTCCGAATACTTTGACAAGTTAGGGTTTGGGGTGGGGGTGGGGAATTGAGACCCAGTGGTGGATGGACCACACCTGCTCCTTATCTGGTGAAAGGAAAGTTGTAGCAGAAGGCTCTGGTTTGATTCCGGGCTGGGTCATTCCCGTTTTTCTCCCAAACACTTCCAATGGATTTACTCCGAATACTTTGACAAGCCAGGTTTGTAGGTGGAGGAATGAGACCTGGTGGTAGAGGGACCACACCTGCCCTCTTTGTTGGAGGATGTTTCAGAGCAGGAGTCCCCGGTTCGATTCCGGGCTGGGTCATAGAGAGAGACTGAGAGAGTTTTCTTTTTGACAGAATGAATGTATTTATTTATCCGTGCACTTCATCATAGTGTGGTTGTGAGGAATGAGAGAGACCCAGTGGTGGATGGACCACACCTGCCCTCTTTGTTGGAGGATATTTCATAGCAAGAGGCCCTGGTTCGATTCCGGGCTGGGTCATCTGAGAAAACTGGAATTTTGCTCCCATTTGTTTTCAATGAATCTAGTACAAATCCTTTGACAAGGTGAGCTTTGGAGCGGGGGAATGATCAATGAGACCCAGTGGTGGATGGACCACACCTGCTCATTCTCCTGGTGAAGTAACATTTGGCAGCAGCAGGAGTCCCCGGTTCGATTCCGGGCTGAGCCATGGAAAGCAAGCAATGCATTTTTTTCCCCTTGATGGATAGTAGACACAGCCGGTGTGCCAATTTTCTTCAATTCCTTTTCGTTGAATAATATTTTGGGTAAACAACCCGTCCAGCCGTTCCTCGGTTGTACAGGCGCGCGGCATCCCACGTACGGAAGGACCTGCTTCTCCCTCGGGCCAGCTGGCGTGCCCCGACATCTGCATCAAACCCCAATCCCAGGATCCCAGGATTCCACCCGATAAGGCGCGCCGAAATTAACGATGCCGTCACGGGATCGCGATCGCGGAAGCAAATCTCACGACAATGTCGTTCTCTTCCTTCCTGACGCCACCCGCAGGAATCGCCGCGATCTGCTGGCTGGTTGGCTGGTGCGTCGGGGCTGGATGGCAGGCAGGCAGGTGAGGCAGGAAGGGCCTTGATAGGCACCGCCCAGACCCCAGATCCATCGGGCAAGAGGATGAGATGAGCACGTCCATCCAGCCGGCCTTATAGTTATACGCTATACATACATACAGAGCCCACCGCGCTGCCGCCAGCCCAACCCAGCCCAGCTCACCCCAGCTCCGCTTGAGCCATGTCCGCCCCGCCGCTGCGCCCCGCCCCGCTCTCCTTCGCCGCCCTCCCGCCCGCCGCGCCCTTCGCCTCCGCGCACAACGGCACCACCGCGCATAACGGCGTGGACTCCGAGCCAACCACCCCCGCGCCGCAGCAGCAGCAGCAGCACCTGCACTCCCCGCGCTCGCTCGCCTTCCTCGCCACCCCGCCCGCCGCCGCGCCTGCGCACGTCTACGGCACGCCCTTCGCCCCGCCCGCCTCCGTGCGCTCCTTCTCCGCCGCCGGCCCCGCGGCCCCCGAGGCGGGGTACCCCTTCCCCGCGGCGTCCCCCGGCAGCACGCGCGCGTCGAGCCTCGTCGACGGGCAGCGCCCCGCAGGCGTCAACCCGTTCGCCACGCCCTTCGCCTCCCCCTTCCACGGCGGCAACGGCGCGACCACCCCCGGCACCCACGCAAACGGCACCAGCGGCACACAGACCCCCGGCGGAGGCGGCGGCCCCCAGAAACGCGAAGCATTCGCCTCCCCCCCCGCGCGCCCGCTCACGCTCTACGCCGCCGCCCCCTCCACCCACCCCGCCTCGGCCGCCCGCCTGCGCCGCGGGCGGCCCAAGTCCACCGCGCTGCTCGTGCCCAGCGGGCCCGCAAGCGCCGCCGAGCGCAAGGACGGGGTAAGGCCGAAGCTGCGGGGGAAGCTGGAGAAACCGTGGTTGGAGGGGAAGGGGGGAGGAGGGGGAGGGGGCGGGGGGCTGGCGCGGCTGGCGTATGCGATCACGTGGGGGATGGTGCTCGTCGGTACGTGCACTGCTGCGTCCGCCGTCGAAGGCTCTTCAAGCGTCTTAGACGGCTCTTCAAGAGTCTTAGACGGCTCTCCAGAGTCTCAGACGGCGGACTTGCGTCTGCCACAACCCAACTAACCCCCTTCTTCTCCAGGCCTCGCCGCCGGCGCCGCGCGCATCTACACCGCCGCCCGCGCCGTGCTGCTCCTCCGCGGCGACCTCTGCCCCGTCCTGCTCGAGGACTTCTCCGCCGCCACCACCGAGAGCCTCTTCGGGGCGGGCGTGGGCGGGGAGGGCGGCGTGTTCTTTCGGGAGGTGGACGCGAGTGGGTTTGGGTGGGTTTTTCTTTTTTTTGGGGGGGGGGGTTTTTTGGGGTTTTTTTTTGGGGGGGGGGAGTGTATGCGGTTTTTTGTGGCTTTTTGGGGGGGAGGGAGAGAGAGTGTATGCGCGGGCGCGGGCGCGGGTTTTCGTGTCCCGCGTCGCCTCTGCCGTCGCGCCGCGGCTTCTTCCTTGCCTCTCGTCGCCTCCTGTGTTTCCCGCCTCCCGGCCCTCCCCTTGCCTCTTCCCACCCATGTCCTCCCACCGCGCACCTTCCCCTCCTGCCCTTTTCGTTCCCATCTCCTTCCTCCTCCTCTCGCGTTCCCTCCCCCTGCTTCCCATCCTCCCTGCTTCCCATCCACCGCCCTTGCTCCTCAGTGCTCTGCGTTCCTCTCCTCCCTCCTCCGCCCGCGCTCCCTGCCTCCCCACTGTTCACCGGCCCCTGCGGCTGCGCCCGGGTCGGCCTAAAAAGCGCCGCCAGAGCCGCGTCGCGTCTCCCCCCTCCTCTTCTCTTCTCTCCTCTCCTCTCTATTCTCTATTCCTGTCCTCGCCGCCCAATAACCCATCTCCCCGGCAACGCGGCCGAACCCATCCATCCGCCCGCCCGCCCTGCCCTCCCTCGTCTTCTTCTTCTTCTTTCCGTCCCCCACCTCTCCCCACCTCCCCATCTTCCCACCCTCCAGTCCCACCCCCATCTTTTCCCCCCAAACACTTTCCACTTTCTCGCCCTCTTCCCCTTCAATCCCTCCTCCCTCTCCTCTATCCCCAACCGTGCCTTGAAACGCTGACGCTGACGCTCCCCCCCCAGGAACGGCGAGTTCTCCATGACGACCGCGTCCCCCGCGAACGCGTTCGTGCAGGGCGGGCAGCTGCACCTCGTGCCGACGCTCACGAGCGACGTCCTCCCCGCGGGCGCGATACTCGATGGCGCGGTTTATAATCTGACGGTGCGTTTTTGGGTTTGGGGGTTTCATTGTGTTTTGGGATGTGCGATCGCGCTTGTGTGTCGCGCCCGTCCGACGGCCGTCCGCGGCGGGACCCCTGCGCTGCACGCCGTGGCGCGTGGTGCTGTCCTGCGACGGCCCGTCCTCGATTTTCGCGCGCCCGCTCCCCTCGTCCGCTCTTCCTCGCGCCCGCTCCCCTCGTCCGCTCTTCCTCTCTTCCTCTCTTCCTCTCGGGTCGTTTCGTGCGCGCGCCACAGCCGGGCGGCGGCTTCGTGGTCTGAGGCTGAGGCTGAGGCTTTCTTCGTCCCGTCCGCGTCCGCTTGCATCCTTCGCATCGCCCGCCTTCCGTGCCCTCCCGCACCCCGCCTCGCGTCTCTCGCCGTGCCCTCCCGTGCCCGCCCCCGCCCCGCCCCTCCCGTACCGTACCGTACCGTACCCCCTCGCGCCTCTCGCCCGTCTCTTCTTGCGTCCCCGCCTTCTTGAGGTTTCCCCACGTCTTTTTTCTTCGTTTTCACCGCACGGCTTCTTGCATGCGTCCCACGGCTCCTCCTCCCCCCCCCTCCTTCTCCCCCTCCTTCTTCCTCCTTCTGTGACGCAGCGCTGACTGACCCCGCCCCCGCCCGCAGGACTGCACGTACAACATCACGCACGCGACGGGGTACACCACGTCCGGGCACGGCGCGGCGGGCGTCAACACCACGGCGGGGATCGGTGCGTTCTTCTTTTGCTGTTTCGCGCTTTGTTTTCTTGGGGGGGGGGCTTCTACTTCGCTCCTGCTTCTACTTCTACTTCGCTCCTCTCTCCTGCTTTTATCTCGCTCCTCTCTTCTACTGTTTTTGGGTTTTTGTCTGTCGCCCTCTTTACTCGATGTTTCATTTTTTTTCTGTGTCGTTCTCGCTTTTTTCACTTTTTTTGGGGGTGGTGTCGTTCTCGCCTCCCGCGCGTTCGTGGCCGGCGTCCGTCCCCTTCGTCCTCTTCGGGCGTCGTGCGTGGGGCGTTCGACGTCTTTTCCGTCGTTCGTCCTTGTTGTCGTTCGTCCGAGAAGGGCTGCGCCTCGCCCCGCCTCTTTCCGGCTCTCGTCGCGTTGCAGCGCTGTTTCGTCGCTGTCGCTGTCGCGGATTCCGAGCGGCGGGGCGTCCGAGCGTCCCTTCCTCGCCGCCCGTCCTTGTCGTCGTCGTCGTTCGTCCGAGGGATTTGGAGGCTGCGCCTCAATCCTTTTTGGCGCTGGCGACGAGGGCTTCGGCTCTGTTTCGTTGCCGTCGCCGTCGCGGATTCCGAGCGGCGGGGTTTTGACCCTTGGAGCGGTGGGCCCTTCGCGCGGAACGGCGGGCCCTGGTGTGGCAGACTTTGCCTTTGCCCTCTCGCGCACGTCGGCGCCCTGCGTGTGTGGGGCGGCTTGCACGGCTGTGCCGTCTTCCAGGGTCTTTCGCGCCGGGTTCGGGGGAGAGCGCACTGCCCGTCCGCCGTTGTACGCCCTGGGTGTCGCGCGTCGGGCCCGGGTGCGGTCGGGTTGTGTGTCGGGCGCTCTTCGCTCTCAGGCTTGTCCTTGCTCTATGGGCTTGGCGCTTGAGAGAGGTTCGCGCGTCGGGGCTCCTGCGGCTTGTCGTTTGGGGCGCGCTGCGCCCCTCCCCTCCCCCCTCCCCTCCCCTCCCACTCCCTCCCCACTCCCTCCCCGTCCCCGTCCCCGTCGGCCCCGGCCCCGGCCTGCGTGTACTCTTCCGCCTTCCGCCGCCTTCCGCCTTCTGCCGCCTGCCGCCTGCCTGCTACCTGTCGCGCATCCGTCTCCCGTGACATCGCCATGTCGCCCTGCCGCGCGTCTCCGCGAATGACAATGTCGTGTTCTGGGCCTGTCCTGTCCTGGATCATGGATGTCGTGTGTCGTGGCGTGGCGTGGCGTGGCGTATCATCTGGCAGGGGGTATGTTCGGGGTGGGAGTGTGTTTGGGGAGCGTGGGGTGAGAGTGTGTTTGAGGATGGATGGCGTATGTTCGGGAGCATGGCGTGGCTCCGCGGGCAGTTGCGAAGATGGGCCCGGGTG